TGGTTTGGACATGTCCAGAGGAGGGACAGTGGGTATATTGGTAGAAGGATGTTAGAAATGCAGCTGCCAGGAAAAAGACCAAGAGGAAGACCAAAGAGAAGATATGTGGATGCAGTTAGAGAGGACATGGAGGTAGTTGGAGTGAGGACAGAGGGTGCAGAGGACAGAGTGAGGTGGAGGAGGATGACTCGCTGTGGCAACCTCTGAAAAGGGAAAAGCCAAAAGAAGAAGAAGAAGAATCTCAAACAGCAGGCAAACACAGTCAATGCCGTACCTGTGGTTTGAACCAAATAAGCTGAAACTGATTTTGGGTTAGGGACTATTCAGTAAACAAGCCATCCTGGTAGTACAACTAGACTGGTTGAAAGACTATGAAAAGCATAACATGCTCAGCTCAAAGGCCAAGATGGAAGGTAAGAGGACGACACTGCAGCTCAGCCACTATGAGAGACGCAAGACATTTTGGCTCAGAAATTAGGGCGGGAAGAGAGATGGTGACATTTGTAACAAGAAGTAAACTCTGCCACCTTAGAAACACAAGGCTTACGGTAATACCCTCTGTCATGGTTTACACAGCTGCAAAATCAATTTCACCCTGTTACAGCCAAACTCATTATAGTCAGAGGTTTGGTGTAAAGGGATCGGGAAACTTTTGTATACAACTTGTAGACTACAGGACATACAGTATGAACTGAAAATACCCACATCCTTATTTAGTCACTGTTCAATGTCCTAAAAACTTTAGCCAAACATTTAATAGCAGTCTTACTTGCAATTAGTTTTCAGTTTATAGGAAGTGATCAAAATTGCAAATTACCCCACACCTCTATTACAATAATAAACATGTTTTTCACATTTAATTGGGATATGAATTTTTGTTGTGGAGTCACTTAATGCAGGGTTTAATATTAAGATAAACAGTGTTTACTAAAAAAAAAAAAACAGACATGTTAAAGGCATTTATTTGACATGTGAGAATTATCAACGGGCAAAAAAATAAATATACATAATAAAATAAATATACATAATAAAATTTAATTTAACAGACTCTGGTCTTAAATGTCATATCTTTATGTAGCCAATAGAGGGAGGTAGAGCATTACATTACAGTACATCTCAGTTAACCCACTGTTAGATAACACCAAAGGTTCATTTATAAATAGCCAGTTTAAATTGATTTAAAAAATGTGTTTCAATAATTTATTTAAAAAAAAAGGAAATACATTGCTGTGCTATGTTTCAATTTGTGTCATTGTATTAAACTAATTGTACCGCAATAAGCTGTACCCGTGTACTTGTGGGTTGTCTCCAGTTTCCTCCCACAGACCAAAAGCATGCATGTTAGATTAAATGATAACTAAAGTGTCCCTAGGTGTAAGTGAGAGTGTTATTGATTGCTTGTCTCATTTGTCTCTAAGTGTCCCTGAGATGGACTTGTAACTTTTCCAAGTGTACCCCACCCTTTGCACAGTGAATGCTGGAAATAGACACCAGTTATCCCAAAACCCAAAAAGGAAAAATCAGGTACAAAAATGGATGGATGGATGGATGGAAGATTGTACCAAAAGCTTTGATTCTAGTGCCATTGCTGTTTAATGACTGTTATATATTTTTTCACCACCAGAGGCCATCCTCCAACAACTAAAGGTAAATCCAATGAGGCACTTTCTGTCTAAAGTAAGCGTTGCATTTGTAACACTTGTTTTACTAATCAAATAAGTGATGAGACATACTGCGTCAGACTGAAAAAGATGAGCCAAAAAAAAAAAAAAAAAGAGTTAGTTTCACCAAGAAATAAATTGCTAACTTACAGAGTGCAGATGAGGTAGGAACCTCTCCAGGTCATTCATGTCTATTCCATCATCCTCTGCAAACTGGTTTTTGTTCATACTGAAACAAAGGAAAAATGAGAAACAGAGATTCAGTGAACTGTAACTATCTGGAATATAATTTGTACCACATAACTTTGACAGTAAGAAGTAATCAAATCCACATTGATGATTGAGCAAGTCAACATCAGCACGTCCTGCAGATATACAATAAAAGGATAAATCTTACCCCTCTCTGTCAATGTGGGGCAGGGGCTTTGGCATTCCTCTGAAGTTTCTTCTGTGAAAATGGCTGAAGTCAAGCTTTTCTGGCTGCACATCCCAACCTGCACCTCTACAGTAAAACAACCAGCATGATGCATTAGTATGTGGAGGAAAAAAAGGCAGGAAAACGGTTAAAAAAAGTGTTTAAGATTAAATTTAACATCTTCGTTCTTCACTTAAATAAATACAACTAGATTTAAATGATCAAAATGTTTGTATTACAGCAGCATTATTTTCTCATTTTTTAATGTAGAAATAAAAAGCAGCCATTTTGGAACATGAGAACTTGGTGTATTTACTATCCTCCTGAGACCCTGCATCAACATATGGGGACATTACATTTTGGCTTTGCTGTACCTTATACTTCACTCTGTTCAATAGTGTTTTATACTTTGTTAAGCCATGTTAATGTTGTTGTGTTATGCTGTAAAATAAGCGAATTGTCCCCATCTGAGGATTTCTTTTTTTTTTTTTTACAAAAGTATGTCATAACCATGTAACAAAATACAACTTCCTGTTCAAAGAGGAAGTTTTATTTATACACAAATCAGGTCCATCTAATCACAAATATCTAAGAGATATGAAAAACGCATCGCAAACCAGAGTTCCGGTCTCAGGAGGTTAAAAACTTTGTTAAACCAACATAGCACACCTGTCTCTTAAGCTTTGCTTAATTTTTTCAGTATGTCATGATGTGCAAAAATATTTTGTTGAACCATCTTTACCTCACAGACTAGGAAAAAAAAGTGCAGAAATGATGTAATTTATATCATCACTGTCTGTGTGGGGGCAGAGATGCTCACATCATCCCGCTCTGGTTGCGTTGCTCAGATGTGACAATGCGGCTTAAGCAGTTATGTGAGGCTGCTGTGTGTGTTTCTATGGCAAAACGATCTTCTGCCACAGTTTTTATTTATCCTGGTTCTTTTTAATTTTTCTGTTTAGTTTTACATGTGACCCATGTTGTGAAAGTCATGTTCTTACAGACAGGCTGACTCGCACAGAGGTTTTCTGAGAACAGTAACTTTAAAGCATTTGAGAATTAAAATTCTTAAATGAGACAAGTTCTTCTTTTGATGTGATAACGTGCCTTAAGACTGAAATAAAATAAACCTCAACAAAACAAATGCGTCTTTGTTTGGAGTGACAGTGCTGCCAAACACACTTGATGTAATTTATTTTTAGCATGACATTTATTACTACAATGAAAACATTTGTCTGCAGACAATCTAGAAAATAATAATAAATCAGTATTGTTTTAGACTACTGAACATAAAATGAACTTTATTAAAAAAGTACAATTATATCTTAAAGTCTACAGTAGGACAGATGAAAAAACAGGTTAAATAAAGAACAAAAGCAGAGTGAAACCAAGCTCAGTTTAAAAGTTCAAACCAAACTCATTTATTACAAATTATGAAAATAACAGCCAACAGCTATCAGACATTGTGCTTATATTTATCAAATAATTATCAAGAAACAATGTTTGTAATGCAGACATAAAATATACACCAGCATAATAAGTATGTAAGACAATCAAGTACCTACCCGTGTGAGTCCATAGTGTTTGCAGCCCAAATATCTGTCCCCAAGATGTCAAAGGAGCCATCTCTATTCCCATTCTAGGACCGAACACAAAAGTAGAAAAACTGCATGAATAATTTCAGTGCAACTACAAAAAAAAAACAACAACAACACACTAACTTTGTGCTTTTGGGTCTGGTACTATTTAGCACCACAGCTGTTGTATGAGACAAAATTAGACACAACCAAAATGTTAGGTAATTAACATAGCCCTGGTTCTTTAATAACAGAGTGAGATGTTTCAAAATGGGAAACGCTCCAGCGTGACCAACTATGGAAGCTCCAATGACATCACGTCAGTCTGAGACAGACCAGCTGAACGCTGTGCAGAGCTCCGCCCCCATCATGATACCACAGTCAACTGATCACCTACTAATTCTAGGATGGTTTCTTTCTGTGTCCATGCAAGGAGGTAAGTGTTGGTGAAACACCTCATTCTGTTATCAAAGAACCAGAGTTTCGTTAAGTAACCTAACGTTCTTTTTCTAACTTTGTTCCGTGTTTCACTATGGGAGATATAGCCCACTTGAATGAAAGCCCCAAAGCCAACCGCTATCCAGAACTCGGACTAAGAGGGCTCCGAAGTTCAGCATTAAGTATTACATGAGCTAGGTATGTCTGAGCCACATTCAGCCTGTAAAGGTGCATAAACATATGGGGTGTGGCCCAGCTAGCAGTCGCATAAATATCCTGGACAGATATCCCTTGAAACAGGGCCCATGGTGTGGCCATGCTCCTGGTAGAATGGGCTTTCAGACCAATTGGGGGCTCTGTACTTCTACATCTGTAACAGAGACTAATTGTCTCCACAATCCAGTGTGCTGGCCTCTGTTGTGATACTGGTTTGCCTTTATTAGCCGAGACCCAAGAATCGAACAGCTGGTCTGACTTCCTGAAGCTAGTTGTCCTGTCAGCATTTGCTTTTAGTGCCCAAACACTGGGGAGTGGTGGCGCAGAGGTTAGAGAGGTGGGCTTGTGATCCGAAGATCGCCGGTTCACGCCCCGGCCCCGACAACATCAAAAAAAAAATTGTGGGTGGGGTAGGTGAAACACCCACACTTGCCCCCACCCTCATTCGCCCCACTCTGGGCCCATGAGCAAGGCCCTTAACCCCACCATGTGCTCCCTAAACAGGTCTCTCTTGAAAATGAGTTCTCGTGGCTCAATGAGACTAACCTGGATAAATAAAGGCTAAATGAAAACAGGACACAGAGTTAAGGCTTTGCTCCATTTTAAGGAGAATGAAGGTGGGCGGAATATATATATATATATATATATATACTGAGCAGCATCTGTACACAGAATCTGTCACCTTAGGCACAAAAGCTGAATTGGGCCTCAGACACACTTTAGAGAATCCAGGTGCCCACTGCAAACAGGAAGGGATGATAAAGTGTGTAAATCACTCGCCCTTTTAGCTGTGGTTAAAGCTAAAAGCAGAGCAGCATTTCTTAGAAAGAAATGTCATCCCTGCCCCATCCACAGGTTCAAAGGGATGATTATGGAGGGCTTCCAGAACCAATGAGAGATCCCACGACACACTTGAGGGTTCACCAGTGACGCTTGAGCATGTTTGGCACCCAGGCATGCTATGCATAGGATGAGGGTACCTGACCAAGATGGAGGACCCACATTACACCTTTAACCACTTAAGTTACTTAAAACCGAGCAGCAGCAGGAACAGCTCGCCTTGACGAGGTCGCCGCTCCTGAATGTAACAAAGATACTTCTCACAAAGCACAAACTTACTCAGCACGATGGAAGCCAGGAACTGCATTCGGCGATGTGCCCTTTATGGGATGCCTGGGAACAATTTAGCAGCTAATGTAGCTAGCCTGAATGTGCTGAGGGAGCTCATTGTAATTTCTCATGGGAAGAATTGGTTGGTTGACAGTGGTATGATGGGGGTGGAGCCCTGAGCACAGCTCAACTGGTCTGTCTCAGACAAATGTGATCTCACTGGAGCATAGTTGGCCACGCTGGAGCGTTTCCCATAATGAAACACCAAACGAAATGAGAAAAAGAACAGAAAAAAAGTGAGCAACATTTTTGGTTCCTATAATGAGAAAGGCTCGAAAGATGATGAATGTTGAACTCCCATAATGAAAATGGAGAGACTGTCCGACATTTCTTTGTAAATGTTCCCTTGTTAAATTTTAGCTGTTTTGGAAAGTTTCAAAATATATATATATTTTTTTTTTTATTCAGTCATGAAAAAGCTCCTTCAGAGAATTAAATCTGGAGCTTTAATGTTTAGAATTGAGAGGCGGGCTGTAATTGTAAGAAACAAACCCATTTCTGTACCTTTGCAGAAGCTATGAATTGGTTTTGCCGGCCCCTGCTGCCAGAGCGTGAGCCAGATCCAGGTCTAGATCCTGAACTGGGCCTAGAACCTGTGCTGCCATTACTGCTATGTTCCCATTCATCCTGCAGTGTTGAGAGCAAAAAAAATAAATAAAAAAAACTAACAGTCAGACAGAAAAATGTGGTTACTTCATGATAAAATGTAAACAAATAAATAAAACTACCACTTTACAATTTAAATTCATGTAACCAATCTAAAACAAAGCAATGAGCAGTTGTGTAAGTCTGAAAACTGACATTTGGGATTGATTTAAAGCTGTGATCAGATGCCTTTCATCTTGTTTGACCTCTGACTTCACTTCATTTCTTTTACATTTTTCATTTGATTTAGGTGTGTTGTGGGAGTGGTGGTGCAGAGGTTAGAGGTGAGCCTGTGAGTAGCCGGTTCGACTCCCTGGACTGACAACATCAAAAAATGCAGGTGGAAAAGGTGAAACACCCACACCTGTCTCCACCCTCATTTGCCCCAATCTGGGCCCTTGAGCAAGGCCCTTAACCCCCACCCTAGATGGCAGGTCTCTGCTCCACACAGAGGGCCGTGGTAGCTTGGTGGTCTGTAGTTGTGACAGGAAGGGCATCCAGTGTAATAAACAAACAAACAAACAAACAAACAAACAATTGCAAAGTATTTGTGTGATTTGGTTCACTGTGGTGACCCCCAAGGAAGGGCGCAGCCAAAATATTTTTTTTGTGTGTGTTAAATAGCAAAAACAACAACCCACCTTTACAATGCAATTATTTTAAATGTAACTCTTTTTTTACAGTGACAATATTCAACATTGCCATCAATCTTCCCCCCCCCCCAAAAAAAAATGCCTCTGTGCAAAATGGGTTTAAAAGCATGAACAACTCTCTAAAAGGAAATTAAAAAATCAAGATTTGTTGAGCAGAAATGACACGTTTAATCCTCATTTCTTTTCAGTGACTGGGGTAAGCCTGCTTGTTGCTGCAAATCTTCTCCAATCTGTGCTGCAGTTGTGAGTCTGCCACTCTGAGTTCATTTTCAATGTCCAGCTTTGATCTGTATTTTATCTTGATTGAGGCCACAGCAACAACAACAAAAAAACCTGTGGCAAAAGAAGTGGTTTCTCCACTCCACTCCACTCCAAAATGCAGCCAGTGTCTTTGACTAAGGTCGTTTTCACACCAGATAGTCCGGTAGACTCGGTTCGGGACCAATATTCATGACCTTTTGTTTACATTTGAGCTGGTGCGTTTGCATTCACACTGCACTGTGCAGTCGAGTCAACCTGTTGAACCAACCTATTCCCCCACTCGCCTGTGGGGGCGCTGTACCAAGAACTACTGAAAGAAACGACACAAAAACCTCTGAAGACACGTCTTCTTCTTCTTCTTCTGTAAATAAAAATAAAAACGAAGTGGCATCAAGTTTTAGCAGTTTTAGGAGTTATATTTTGTCATTTTTCAAAAATGGATTTAGCATGAGCAGAAGATGAGACAGAAGACCATGGAGAATATTGTTTTTCCACACAAGGCAGCTGACGGCTCCATATAAGGTCAGAGAAATGTGTGTTTGTTTACCTTGCGGAGCGGGGCTCAGGTCTGTTTGCATTCACACTGTACTCAAACCGCGCTGGAGTTCGCTTCTACCGGACCGAGACCTAGGTTTTAGCCCGGGCCAGAGTTCACCTTTTTGTTCCGTGACAGAGTTCGATGGCGTGTTAACACCTCCCTAAACGAACCGGACTTTCTAGGAAAACGAGCTAGAGTTCGATTAAAGCGGACTAAACAGGGCTGGTGTGAATGCACCCTAAAACTACAGCCTCGTTGTTGAATCAGAAGTGAGATCAATGAACTGATCCTCCTTAAATGTACTGATGTCGACAGACGATGTTGCACTGAAGGGATCATGGATCTAGTCGTATTCTTTGGAATCCCTCATTAGAAATATCTCAGGAAATGTTTATGAAGGGCAGATGTGAGCTTTCATGCATGACATTACTGTGTTCTGCAGCTTGTCTTCAATGAATGATTTCAAGTTCTCAAAAAAGTTCACATATCTAGCTTTCACTTGCTGCTGCCACGCATTCCAATTTTTCTGATGAATGTTGTGACTTTATCTATACGATGTGAGAGGTGTGTCTGTGCTCTGAATCTGCAAATTCAGGTAAGTGAGTTTCAGAAACTTGTCACTGAGGTATTCATGTTTCATGAGAAACTTGTTACAGTAAAATTTGTAGGAAAGATCACTGCCCTCTTCCTTGAAAAAGATACAGATCTCATTTCGTAGTTCAAAGACCCAGGACAGCACCTTCCCATGACAGCCATCAGGACTCACTGTGAAACAGAACAGCTGTGTGATTGTAGCCCATTCCCTCACACAGTGCTGAAATAATCCGGGCTTGACAGGTCGTATATTGATGTAGTTTACGGTGGAGAAAACATTGGTCATTACATCATTCAGCTCAGGACTCAGTTGTTTAGACACCAGTGCTTCGCAATGAATCATGCAGTGCGTCCACTGCACATTGGGGGAGACGCGCTTGATGAGCGCTTGCAGCCCTCCTCGTTTCTCAGCCATATCCTGTGCCCCCTCTGTGCAGATCCCCACACAGTCCTCCCATTTCAGAATGGCCTTTTTCAAGTAAGAATCAATGATTTTAAACAGTTCTTCTGCAGTGGCTCTGCCAGGAACTTGTTTGCAGAAAAGCAATTCCTCCCTCATCTCATCTCCATCTATGAATCTGACATAAGTTATCAGTAAGCATTCTTTGTTACCGTCAGTGGCTTCATGCATCTGCAGAGAAAAGTGGCGGATGTCACGCACATTATAACCTTATCATTACGCTGCAGCTTTATATCTTTGACATGGCATGAATGCACCAGACACTGGTATTACTGGACAAAGGAATAGCCCGTAGTTTGCTAGCTGCTGTGACATTTACCATAGTTTAAACCATAGCATAGTGAAGTATTAATTCCTCTAATTGTGTGTGGCTTTTTACACTGTGTTGAGCATTTGCCGGCACGAATGCAGCTTTAGTAAAGAGACACCGTTGAGCATAGCAGTTTGAGATTTTGCCTGAAAAAGTCAACCGACTTGTCTTTGTGCTCTGGATGTTTTATCTCCAAGTGGCATCTTAGCTTATTAGGCTTCGAACTGTCACCAGCTAGCATTTTAAGACAGACAACACTGCACTCTCTCATTATTCATCATTGTGCAGGTGAAGCCAAAGGCAAGACATGCTTTGTTGTATATTCTACTCTTTGGATTGGAAGGAAGTTGGTTTGGAAACATATTTGGTGATGCATCATCTTCTGCTTTGCCTTTATGTGGGAGCCCAGTCAAAAACCAGTCCATTATGCTATTTGTTCAAGCATTCATTTTTTTTTCATTCATTTTCCCCCCACATTGGGAACCACTGGTCTAGACTGTTTTACACTGGTTTTATAAAAAAAAAATAAAAAAAAGTATTTCTTTGTATTCACCGGATAAGACCAGCAACTCAAACTTAGAGACTATTCATTTTTCCAAATTATGTTATTTTCTAAAATTTCTTATGATAAACACAATTTTTCACCTGAAGTGTCCTAATATGTAGGTTAATATTAACATTTCAACATTTTATGGTAAAACACCTAAAATGTAAATAAACATTAACAAATTTCAACAAAAAAACAGTTAAGTGTTTTAGATTAACAGAATATTAACTTCTTTATTATGGTGCCTAAAAATCTGCCCATAAGTCATATATAAATAAAAACATGACTGTCTTTTTTAAAAATAAAGCTTCTTTGAATGAGTGTAATATTTGAATAAAAAATTACAAACTATTTTAAAAATAAAATCTCTTCATATAGGAATTTAAAAAGAATCAGATTATACTTCATAATTGTAACAGTCCTATTTGACTCACTGCTGATCACACTGAACACTACACTTAAACATTTATTGTGTTGTTCACCACAACTTTAGTTTTTCACACCATAAGACTGCCTGAACAGTTTCAGTTTTATTAAAGTCACCAGGCTGCAGCATGATCAGATCTCAGCTCTCTGTATCTGTCTGAACTGGAAATGTTTTTGATATACCTGTAGGTGTTCTTCTCATGGTTTGTGATAAGCAAAGAAAATATGGGGTGTAGCCTTAAGAATATTAGTTAACTTTATCTCACATTAAATTCTATTTTATAATTGAAACAATACAAGTTTTTAGATAAACAGACTCGAAGTACAGTGAGAGTTACACTTACAGGTTTAGAGGAGCGTCTTCCTTGTGATGATGTCCAACTATCATCTCTCTGGTCAGTGTAGTCGTCTGTCCACTGGAGGAGAGAAAGAGTTAAGTTATACACATGTTTTCCTTCTAATTAACTAGGAGTGTTGACTGATAAATCACACCAGTACATGGAGGATGTGATGCCCTCCACAGTTCGTTATAACACCATGACATGGTTGTATGCTGACTCATATTTCACACCTTTAGTAATGTACTTTTTTACATTCAAAGTGGTGAACAACCTACGATGGAGCTTTAGGACCACGCTAAGAAAAAAGAAAAAATAAAAAGCCATAAAATTACGAGAATAAAGTCTTAATATTACGAGCTTACGAGATTACAGCTCTCTTTTAGCTTATTTTTTTCCACAAGTCGGATCCACGCTGCGACCTGTCAATCAAATCCAGTAGGCGTGTCAGCAAATGGCCAATCTGAAGCTAAATGCTCCTTACCTGCAGAGAGCAGCCCAGCACATCAGAGCGTACCGCCTTACTGTAAGCAGGTTCAAAGTCCTGTTACTGATAATAATCTGATGCTGAAGTGCTAACAGATTAACTATCTCCTTATTTGTAAAACCAATACAGTATAACTTAACAAGACGCTCAACATTCTTCATTTTACCACAGTTAAAATGCGGTAAACTCTGCTTTATCGTGTCGGAGTTCGGATAATATTACGACTCATTTAGCTTCGGATTGGTCATTTGTTGACACGCCTACTGGATTAATTGACAGGTCGTGTCATAGAGTCCGACTCGTGGAAAAATAAAAATAAACGAGAGCTACAAAAAAATGAAAAAAGTCTCGTACGACTTTCTTGTAATATTAAGACTTTATTCTCGTAATTCTACAACACTATTCTCATAATTTTATTGCTTTTTTTTTTTCTTAGCGTGACCCTAAAGCTCCGTTGTAAAAACCAGCCATATGATCACAACCAAAAAGTAGATATTTAGCTAAAAGTACAGCGAGTTTATATTCCGGTAACATCAATAAGGGTAGCTGTTTGAAAGAAGGCTGTAATTCTCTGGTTTGTTTTGTAGACACAAACTAGGCAAACTGCCAGGCCCTGGTACCCCAGCTGCTAACAGATTTCAATAAGGCTCAAACCTGTGGTTCTTTGCCACCACTGTCCAAGTCCAAGTCTCCATCTGCCTTGTCTTCCAGCAGCCCCTGCACCTGATACTCCAGCACGTAGCTGTCGATGAAGCGCTCCAGCTCTTCTATCTCCTGCGAGCGTGTGCTCCCAGCTTCAGACGATGCAGACGCCACCGAAGAGTTCTCCATGGCAGTCGTTGCTGTGATGGGCGGAGGGGGAGGAAAGTGACCTGTTCAGAGAGAATAAGGGTGTGGAGAGGGCAGTTAGGTGAAAGTTCAGCATGAGAAGCAGCTTTCATGCTGTCACTTACATTAGACCTGGAACATCAAGACAAAATCAAAAATGGAAGACTAAAAAGTAGAAGTCAACGCATCCTAGATGTTAAATTAATGATTTAAGAATGTAAACAGAAGGTTGACTGTAATCACAATCAGATTTCTTTATTTCACATTAAAGTCAAGTACACATCTTACATACTGTCAGCAACAATAAATAAATAATTGCATTGCTTACCCCTGACAAAATATTCAACAGCAATACTGTCCTTGTAGGCAGCTTCAGCAGTCACTTAGGTTTAACAAATAAAAATAATGGACCCGTATCTGTCCAAACGATGTCTGGTGTCACCGTTCACACACCAATTCATGTTCATTTCCCTGTTTGCATTTCCACTACTACGATACCTGTCTCTGTCTCTCCTGTTTGTTACCTGACCCCTGACCAACAGTGAAGTGGCTTCCTTTCTGTCTGTCTATTGCTACTAATCTCCTTTACATCAAGGCTTTATCGCCAGCCATGCAAAGAGGATTTATGGCTGGAGCACGCAGAATGCTATCTGCTGAGCCCTGGGAACTCGGTGGGGAGTCCTGCGCAGTTGCAGTCGACAAGTCAGCTCCACATTGTTTTGGTTCAGGCTGCAGAACTGCAAATATTCTGACATGATCATAAAAAGTTGAGCGCACCCAAAACTAAGTCGCACCCACTAAATACATTTTTAAAATCCAATTTTGTACATATATAGGCCGCGCTTGTCTATAAACCACGGGTGTCCACGTTGTAACAGGAGATATTTACACAAAGATCTTTTAAACTTTTAATTATATATGTACCGTAACATACACAAATACGTACAGTAAAAGGCTTTTTTCTGAACAGTGCCTGTAACGAGGCTGGTTACAAATAAATAAATACAGTAGCCTACCAGGAAGCTTACGTAGCTGTATTTCCTTCTTCGACAGCCACATTGATCGCCTTTAACTTGAAAGCTGCAACATCTGCATTTTTGGTGTGTTTTCCATGAGGAGGGTGTGTTCATGAAGTGCAAAATAACTGACCTGAAGAATTTAGTGAGAGTGCATTTCATTTATGGTAATTTGAAGTTTCATTGGTCAAATTTTATTTTTTACCTTTATTTATACAGGTAGTCTCATTGAGCCACGAGGACCCACCCCTCAAGAGAGTTGAGTATCGGGCAGGTATGTGAGCGCCAGGGTGTGATGAAGCTAAATGTTTTGGTGGCAGGAAGCTCGTTAGCCCGTCAAAAAACAAACAAACAAAAAAAATCCATAAATTAGTTGCATAAACTGCGGGGTTCAAAGTGTGTGAAAAAGTTGCGGCTTATTAGTCCAGTAATTATAGTATTTCTAGTAGGGGTGTAACAATACACCGATTTACATCGATATATCGATTAAATGATTAATGATTCAATTATAGCGTGGCAAATTTAAAACATCGATTCATATCATCATCTTTAAAATACACATCTATTTTGACATTTCCAAGGCAACGCCTGTGTCACCGTTTACGTGCGCGGCTGAGCTCTGAGGCCGCCTCAGCAACATGGCAGACGAGGCAGAAAACACAGAAAATGAAATTCACTCTGGATTTAAATCAACACGGTGGAAATATTTTGTTTTCCAACAGAAGGACGGCTCAACAGACAAAACTCATGTCGTATGCAACAGGTGCCAGTGTGAGTTAAAATACTCAGGAAACACAACAAATTTGTCCATTCACCTGAAGAAGAAACACAACATTGATAGCCATGTTATGTAAACTCAATATCTATTTTTGTTTCTTTATAAGTGAAAGGTAATCAGGACACTTTTAAGATAAGTAGTTTAAAAAAATGCACTTAAACATGAAAAATGTGAGACTATACTGAACAAGTCATTTATTTTTATTTTTTCATTAATTAAGAACAATATATATTTAAATGCCTGGTGCCTGTAATAACAGAAATAAAATGGTTAAATCATATTTGAGTTGTTTTTGTAAATGTATTTATATGTAAATGAGATGGGCATTTGATATCGCAATATATCGATCGCAGACTTGTGAATCGAATAGAATCGAAATCGTATCGTGACAGACTTTGTGATATTGAGAAAAATCGTCATACAAACAAATCAATATAATATATTGTGGTAAAGCTGGTGATTTACACCCCTACTTTCTAGGTACTGTTCTAGTAAAATATTACAAATAGTTGCTCTGAATAGAATAGTCTTTATTGTTATTTATCTTTATCTGTTATTAAACTACAGCATAAGAACATGAAAACAAAAATGATTTCATATGCTTCTATTACAGCTCATCATTGCACATTTCTAATATCAGCAGCTCCTACAGGTATAACCTTTGGCTGAATTGGAAAAGTTTGAAACTTGAATTTGTTTGTCTCGTTAAGGTGATTTTGAAACAATGGGTTTGTCCCATTGACTCTTCTTCAGATTGTTATCAGGTCGTCATGTTCTCCAATAATCTGTAATCAGACGGTGAGTCTGAACTATAATCCATCTATGTCAATATTGCAGTGCACTTTAACACTAAGGCTTCGATTAGCCTGTTGATTTGCAGCTGATGTACAAAGATATAGAACATCCAGCACAACATATTCAATAACTTAAAATCTGTCTTATTTTACTGAGCTGCAGACAGGTGTCACTCCAGGGCAACATTTCTACCATTGAAAACAACTTAAACAATTTATGGTGATTCAAACAAATGCTACAATTCACAGAGATGCATTTAGCCTATAAGTGCTGTCGCTATGTTGTCAACAAAATGTTTGTTTTACTATGCACATTTAAGTTTTTTTGACCCCTCCATAAATCATAATTAAGAAACGTGACGATGACATGCTCTTTTCTGGAGAGTTTTTAAGTGTCTCTGTATAAACCTAATTATAAAAATGAAAAACTGGTGGTTAGAGGAATTGAACATTACCAGGCAGTCTCAGATGATCAGCAGTAGCAGATAGCATTCATTTGAGATTGGTTTTAAAAACATGCTATGTGAGCTACCACTTAAAGAAAAGGCATCATTTCTTCAGAGCACTCAATTTTTTCTGCAGCAATTCCTACTTGAAAATATCAATTTTTTAAAAAAAGAATAATGATGTTTTTTAATAGGATTTTTCTAAAGTAGAGCCAGATTCCAGGTTTTGCTAATCAGGGCAACTGATGGTTAATAATAGCAATCAGATTATATTACATCAGAACACATAAATAAATAAAGGCTTGGCATTCTTTGAATGACTGCATATCAGTACTAAAAGATGTCCACTGGTTTATCGTGTATTTTGTAAATAGAAAAACAGGGCTGACCCCAGTAGTTAATGTTAAATGTGTAGTGCCCAGACTGTGTTGGGAATGACTCTCAGCTATTACCACACCAAAGTTTAGCTCATTATCAGCTAAATTGACTGTTTTTGTGCCAGTTGTTGACTTGGTCTGATTGATTAGCTGTGGAGACCATCTTGAACATGGTGAATCCAAAAGTTTATCAGTTAATTAATGTACATTCATTCATTAATTTTTGAAGGTTTTTTTTCTCCGTTTCCTGAGATACTTTGCTAACGCCACACACACACACACACACACACACACACACACACACACACACAAACATAGCTAAAAACATGGGTCGCAGTGGTCATTGGTGTCCATATCCAGCAGTTACTGTGCGAGAGGCAGGGGACACCCTGGACAAGTCACATAGAGACAACCATTCACTCTCACTCACACCTACGGACAAAAAAAACAAGACATTTGAGCTATCAATACTTACAAAACCTGTGATAAGTCAATTGTAAGAAAAGCATACTGCTCTAAACTACCGTAGTTTTTGGAATAAATGGCGCACTTAAAATCCTTTAATTTTCTCAAAAACCAACAGTGAACCTTATAATGCACTTTATGTATTAACTCTGGTTGTGCTTACTGACCTCGAACCGATTTATGTGGTACACGGTGCTCAAAAATCTGTCAAACTGTTTTAGTTTTGCTTATTGTGCCTTATAATCCGGTGCGTCGTATAGTCAGAAAAATATGGTAATCAGAGGAAACCACTTGGATTCTCAGTGTTTATATAAAACAACAACTTTGTCTTATTAACTGCAGCTCATGTCTGCAGTGCTAAACATACTTGAAAAACAAAAACAACAACAACAACAACAAACAAAAGGAGGCTGGGAGAAGATTAAACCAAGGATTTTGTCAGACCAGACATACAGTAGGAAGTAAGGTCTATTGTATTGAACATCTGTGAAACAAGAAAGCAAGAAACAAAAAAGAACTGCAGGCTGGTAGCTCCTCTGATCTCTAACTAAACAAAAGAAACTGATAGCATCACAAGCTTCTCAGATGAACCAAGCACGTCTCGCCATCACTTCAGCTGACTCATTAATACTGCATCTTTGAGTACAAGACAATGATAAAAATAGTATCTTTCAAAAAGTGTTTGTAACTTTTGCACCAGCAATCTCGCCACCTATTTTTGTCCAGTTTTATTCTGAACACATTCTACATTTGTGTAGAAAAGATGCCCAACACAGATACGTCCTAATTTCTGAGCAAATTATTTAGGATTTATCTAGCACGTTGAAGTGAGTCGTATGGACAAGTTCTTCTTAGAACTCGTCCAGAGGACCTGACACAACCATGTTCGATTTATCTACCTGGAATATTGATCATGCATCAGGATATTTAGGATTTTATTACTTTGTCAACTAAAAAAACTTAATTAGGCTTACTGGCTGTGTTGTTATCAATAATTTGTAGAAAAGCTAAATATGATGGACTGCTTTCATGCATATTCTCCAATCTCTAGTAAGATCATTTTAGACAGTTTAGATGGAAATATAGCTGCTGGGAGAGTGGTGACGCAGAGGTTAGAGAAGGCAAGCCTGTGACTGGAAGATTACTGGCTCGACAACATCAACATGTT